AGCAGTAGGGATCCCCTCTGCTCCTTCCCACCACTAGGGCCTGCCCAGTCTGTCTCACTGCTCGCTCCTTCGCTGGTTTATCTGCGCGCAAATGTGTGACCGCAGTCAGCCTGCCGCCTTGCGCCTTCACTGGGTCTGCCCGTTGCTACTCCACACCTGGGATTTGCCCTTGGCTGCCTGGGTCAGGGGATCTTTCCTGCCCAACTCCGCTCCAATGCTGGCTCTGCTCCTCTTACGGGTCTAGCTGAGTGGTTTGTTGTTGTCCAATTCCTGTATTGTTCAATTTTCTGTGGTTTGGCTGCGTTTATTGCTGCTAAAATTTTGTTGTTTTTAGACTTGGTTGTGCGAGAAGGTAAAGTGTTTCTACCTACACCTCCATCTTGGTGGAAGTTGGAAAAATACTAACTTTAAAGTGGAGGAACTTAGCAAATGTTACATCTACTACGTGTGGAAAGTTACCCTCACCAGATTATCATGTAAATATCCTATATACCCCCTACAATGATGTTATGAGGACACTGGATCTCTGTCATATTCTTTCTAAAACCCTGTAACACCTGCCCAAGCATGAGAAAGCTATGAAGCAAACCTAGATTCAGGGACAGTATACAAGATATGTGGTCTGCACTTCTCCACATTGTCAAAAACATGAAAAACCAGGAGGGACTAAGAAATGGTTACAGCTAGAGGAGACTTGGGAAACATGACAACTAAATGGAATGTGGTAACCTGCTATGCAAAAATGAGTTAACATAGCAGGCCTGAGACTGCTATCCTTAGCAAGGCCTGGTTGCCAGGTTGGCTCTTGACTGGCGTCTGGGAACTTAGATCTTAAGAGATTTCCCATAATTCCTTGATACAAATAGCTTATAGTGCCTAAACTATTCATACTAACAATGTAGTTTGTGCTGAATACCTGCTTTTCTTTTGAGAGTCTAGACATTGGATGCATGTTAGGGGAAGGGTGCCTGGGTGATCAGCCCTCAGTAAAACCTTGGGTACTGAATCTGCAAAAAGCTTCCCTGATAGACAGCGCTTCACGTGTGTTGTCACAACTTATTGCCTGGAGAATTAAGCATGTCCTGTATGACTCCACTAAGAAAGAACTCGTGGAAGTTTGTGCCTCCAGATTTCACCCCCGTGTGTCACTTCCCTTTGCTGATTTCATTTTGTTTCCCTTGTTGTAATAAATCATAGTCATGAGGATGACTATGTGCTGAGTTCTGTTGAGTGCTAGCAAATCATTAAATCCGGGCTAGTCCTGGGGACCCTGACGCACTTGGATTGGATCCCGAAGACAAAAGATGACATTAATGTAAACACTGGTAAAATCCAAGTTAATAACAAAGAATTGATGTTTATTTCTTAGTTCTGATAAATGTAGCATGGGAATGTAAGATTTTAACAATCGTAGAAAAAGGGTAAAGGGTAAATGAGAACTGTAGTATCTGTAAACCTAAGATTATTCCAAAATAAAACGTTTATTAAAAATACTCAAACCAAATGTTTTGGAAACTCATGAAAAATAACATAACACTCATCCTAAAGAGAGAAATTATCCAAACTGAAACACAATGAGAAAAATGAGAAAGCAAGAGAGAACATACTTTATTTTCTGTAGCTGGAGGGGCATAGGCTGTGGTTGAAATAAAAAAAAAACACACAAACAATCAGACTCAAGACCTGATTGTGAGAGCAGCAGAATTTAAAAGAAGGTTTAATTAATAACCCAAAACATGTCCAATAAGTCAAGGCCCTGAAAGGGAAATAAGACCAAGATCTAGAATGTGGACATCTGGGTGGATCCTCTCAGAAACTCTGAGCTGATAAGATTTCCAGCACTCCTCTGGGCCAACAGAAGTGGAGCACGTGCCCCTGCTATAGGACAGGGGCCTCCCTTTGCCTGAAGACCATGCAGAAATCTCACCTGCGGAAGATACCTTCCAAGATGCTACTTTCTCTTCTCAAGATTTGCCACAACTACCTCCAGTGTTTCTAGAAAAACAACTAAGGTCAATTTTTCATTTGTACTGGCAGCATTGAAAGAACATACCTGGGGATGGACCTTGGTGTAGGTTTGGGGAAAGTGGTCTAAAGTAAGGATACCAGATTTGTTGAGTGTAACCCCCAAAGCAAGAAAATCCTAGAGACAAAATTCAACTAAATTTAAGATTATTTTCTGCCCTGGCTGGTGGGGCTCAGTGGATTGAGTGCTGGCCTATGAACCAAAGGGTCACCAGTTCAATTCCCACTCAGGGCACATGCCTGGGTTGTGGTCCAGGTCCCCACTGGGGGGCGCACGAGAGGCAACCACACATTGATGTTTCTCTTCTTTCTTCCTCCCTTCCCTTCTCTCTAAAAATAAAAACAATTTTTTAAAGTTATTTCCTGTTATCAGGGAGACAGGGATTCAAAAGAGATTGTATGACAGAACAAGGAAAAGGTTGCATTTCTTTGCACACTAGAATTTGTGGACTGCCACTGACATATCTTTCAATTTTTCAATAACTTCATTAGATCAAGTAATAATCTTTGCATACTCTTGTTTCTAACACAAGGTCTGGCCCTTAGGGACTTAAAATTTTTTGTTAATGAGAGGACTTCACAAAGAGACTGAGTACACACACAGAAAGGGAAATACCTATAGATTTTTTAGTATGCTTGACATTAAAGATGAAGAACTAATTAAAGGATGCTTTCCAAAGCCTAACCCTCAGCCCTTTGCCCTTATCTCAGTACCAGCTCCGGTACATGACTTCTTATGGCTTTCAAGTAAAGCAATAGCCTCCTAAACTGTTCTGCCTGGGTCTGCTTCTTCATATACATCATGCACTCTAATGTGAAATTAATATCTGGAAACTTTTTATTGTTCAAGTATAGTTGTCTCCATTTTCACCTCACCATGGCCCCCTACCCCACACATCCCCATGGAAACTTTTAACTATTCTGCTGCTGAAAATCTTTAAATGATTTAGCCTTATATGCTAAAGTTTGTTAAAAAATAGCTTGCTCTTAGGGTTCTTCCCAATCTGCTTCCTCTTATCTCTACCTAGCCTTGTTTTCCATTCCAACACTAAACCTTAATTCTAGCACATCCACCCAGAGTCTCCAAACATATTTTGAATATCCTAGGTTCAATTTTTTAAAAATTTTTATTGTATTCTTTTCCATTACCATTTAGTCCCCTTATAATCCCCTCCTCCAGCAATCACTTTTGTCTTTTTTTGCAAATCAGTTCCTTTCACTTGCAAATATTTATTTGTGCAACTATCTTTATAGTATAAAATGCAACTACCTTCCTGATCTATACAGTGTGTAAGGATTCTCTCCTCTATATCATCTGTGTACCAGAGATTGTAAAATGGTTTTGTTTGTTAAAATGTTAAAGTAATTCTTAACATTGAAACGTCATCTTAGAATTGGAAGCCCTAGTATGGCCCACACTTCAACAAATGGCTAAAGTTTACTAGTAGCTATTCATCTTCAGATACACAGTTTGGTTGGATAATCATGGCTACATTTGAAAAGTATTTACCTGAGCACCCATTACTTGCCAGGCACTGTTTTAGATGCTGGTGATAACAGCAATGAACAAAACTGATCACAGAATTTGCATTATTAAGGGGGGAGACAGAACAGTAAGTAAATTATATACTAGGAAGTGATAATGCTACACAAAGATAAAGCAGGGTTAAGGAGATGGAGTATTTGTGTGAGAAGGGTCCTTGAACTTTTACATTCAGATACCTGGCTGGATCCATTCTCAGATCCTGGGAGTCTGACTTTGTGACCCCAACTATACAGTAGCCCACCCTTATCTGTGGTTTTGCTTTTCATGGGTTCAATGATCCGTGGTCAGTCATGGTCTGAAAATATAAGTGAAATATTCCAGAAATAAATAATTCGTTAAGTTTTAAAATGCAAGCCATTCTGCATAGCATGATGAAATCTCCAGTCATCCTGCTCCAGCAGGCTGGGACTTGAATAATGTCTTAGTCCAGCACATCCAAGCTGTGTGTGCTGACCCTCATTAAGCAGTTAGCAGCCCTCTCCTTAGTAGGCTAATTTGTGCTATCACAGTGCTTATGTTCAAGTAACCTTTATTCCACTTCCTCATGGACTGAAAGCCATTGCAATAACTTTGATTACAGTATATTATGATAACTTCAATTTTGCTAATGATCTTACTGTATCTAATTTATGAATTAAACTTAATCATAAGTATGTGTAGGAATAAAACATCAGTAATACCCAAGGCTTCAGGAATCCAGTGGAGGTCTGGGACTGCATCCCCCTCCAATAAGGAGTATATCAGGATTGTCACACACTGCCACGTATATACCACTGTCAGCAACTTGAAGGCAGGAAGTGTGCTCTTTCCTCTTCGGACTCCTAGAGTACGTATTTTCAGGGCGCCAACACGATGGAAACAGAACGTTCTGAGTCCCCAGAGTCAAAGTTATGTTGACCACTGCATACCAGAGTGGTTATTCATGTGGAGTTTAAGCACTAAGGAGGGCGCAACACCGCAACACCCCCGAGAGAAGAAACAACCTCTTGGCCTCTTTCAAAGCTCCCTCTATGACGCGGCTCCATCTGTTTCCAGGGCAACAGGCCTGTGACGAGAATCCAACAGCGGATACACAGCCACTTGGAGGAACCAGCTTGCTGCTCAGTAACAAACTATTTTGCCGTTTGAAGCCACAGCCCCACACAGGAAACCCCTGACATCCCGGTACCCTAAGGCGGTGCCGCAGGCAACTTGACTTCGGCTTTCTGGTCTCGCCCAGTTCTCGGAGCAACAACTTCCGGCCTCCGAAGGCCCCCTACACGCCTCAGCAGGCCGGGGTCCTACAGCAATGGAAAGGTGCCCGCGGCGAACGCCTGACCCATATACGGACCTTGAACAAGGTTGTCTGTTCCTCCTGGCAGGCGGTGGCAACAGAGGCACTTAGAGGCATTGAGGCACAGTTGTGGGCGGGACGCAGGCCCAAAGCTGGAGAGTCTGGCGGGATTCGGGTAGGTGCAGTGGCGGAAGTAGTTGGACACAGTGAGAGCTGAGCCATCTAGGAAGGCGAGGCCGTGGGTCACCTCACCTGGAACAGCTGCCTGTCTCAGCCAGACCACAGCGAGTAGGGTTTGGCTGTCGGGGAAATGCCTCTGTTCGCCCCCAACCCTTTCGAGCAAGACGTGGGTAAGCGCTGGTTCCGGGGCCAGGCTGCTGTTCGTGGCTCTGGAAAGTGGGCGGTGGCATCTTGGGGGACTGGAATGCAAAAGGAGTGAGAAAGGGGGCGGCGCCGCGTCTTGAGGCTGGGAGGGTCACTTCGTCCTGGAGAGTGCTTTCTGCCCCCACCCGATCCCCAAGGTTGGGGATCCCGAAAGAGGACCATTCCCCTCGCCAAGCTCAGGCTGGGGAAGAAGAACCTGGGGCTTGCTGGAGACAGGGTTAATTAAGCAATTAGGAAGTTGACTGTATAAACTTTCTGCTCCCTAAAGAGCTGGGTAAGCAACCCCCACCCTTTTAGGAGATGATGCAAAAGTGGGCACTCTGCTGTCCAGGGCAGTCCAACCCTAGAGACCTTGACTTGCCCGCATTCAGTAGGAAGAACCTATGTCACCTTGCTTACCTGAAAATTTGTCCAAGCTCTGATAGCATAGCTTCAGGATTTATTTACACCGGCGGGAGGTGTTATTCTCTATCAGTGGATGGAGCAAGTGCTATGAAATATTGTTTTGAAGTGTGAAAAGGAAGGCAGCCCAGAACAACTAATATTTATTTGTTGGGGGTAGTAGGAGCGCCTCTGTCTCAATGACTGAGAAAAAAATGGAGTTTTTAAAAATTTTGGGCAGTAGAGTAATAAACAAATTGGCTAAGTAAGATTTTTGTAGCAGTCGTTAACAGAACCCTAGGTAGAGTCTTAGACTTTGTGGAATGAAAAAACACATGGCTGAAAACCACCAGAGTCACCCAGATACTTCACATTACAGCAGTGAAAGTCACTTGTTTCATAGTACAATTTTGTAATTATAAGGAGACTAGAAAGGGCCCAACTTTGATATATTATGTGATTCCAAAAGCATGCTCAAAAGTCAAATACAGTGTATAAGTCGCTTCTATACCCAGAGAGCTAAACATTTTTATAATGGCATTTTGATCCTAGAGTTTGATAATTTTGTTCAACATCTTTTTCTTAGTAGCTTAATACAGATAACTGGTATAAATCTAGGAAGCTTCTGCTTTTGGAACAGCTAATGAGGTTTTCCCTAGTTGCAGTGAGACTTGTATTTTTTATTGCTGGTGTGAAGACTTTCATTTTGTCCTGGTGAAATAAAACAGAAAGGGCAAAATAGAAAAGACAAGTGATTTTCAAATTTAAAAACTTTGAAACTTTTTCTTTAAGGGAATCTGTCGTGGAAACATTGTTTTTTGAATAAAAACTTCTAAAAGTACATTGAATTACTCTGCCTGTTTAGCTTTTCTGAACCTTCAGTGGCTTCTGAGGTTCCTCTCTGGTTTAGTGGATCACAGTATAGTACCAATGTAGTAAAAAAAAAAAAGGCAGTGCTGTTCAGACATATAAATACTACTGTGTTTATACTATTTCATGGGCAGCATCATTAAACAGAGCTTCAAGTACTTATTCGTTAACTCGAGTATGACTAAGTCATTATCCAAAAGGGAGTTTAAAGGTAAAAGAGCAAATTTGATTGAGTCCCATCTGTAACTTCTTTTAGACAAGTGAATGGAATTAATAGAAAAAGTGGAATGAAATACTTAGGAGTTCAAATTATTCTTAAACCTATATCATAGGAGGAAAATTATATAATGCATTTTTCATAACTTAAAGCTTCTTTTTTAAAAAAAAAAGATTTATTTTTAGAGAGAGGGGAAGAGGGGGAAAAAAGGGAGAGAAACATCAGTGTATGTTTGCCTCTGGCACACCTGCAAGCAACCCAGGCATATGCCCTGATCGGGAATCGAACTGGTGACCCTTTGGTTCCAGGCTGATGCTCAATCCACTGAGCCACACCAGTCAGGGCTAAAGCTCCTTTTAATTTGAAATGGTTAAGTAATGCAAGCAAGTCATCATTTAACTTTTGATGTCTATAGGAATATTCCTGTGCCATGTCACTGTCTTTCACCTACTCTCTGATTCAGTCAGATTTTTACTGTTGCTTCTTTTTTGTCATATCTTTGTGCACTTTCCATTCAGCAAACATGCATTGAATGATTACTGTGTATCAGACATTGTATTAAGTTCTGGGAACACAAAAATTTAATAAATGGACTGAATTCCTGCTATCAGGGAAGTCAGTCTAATGGAGGACACATACACACATAAAAAGGTAATTGTCATATAGTGTGATTATTATGGTACTAGAACTACATGACATGCTTTATATACATGCTCCCTTTGTTTAAAACAGTCGTTGTCCCTGAAAAGAAGACAAGAACCTCTGGGCAGACTCATTCTCTGTAAAGGCATTAACACTGTCCTCTCTTTCTCCCCCACTTTTCTATCTGCAGGAAGTAACTTTACATCTTACTATGTATGTGTGGTATGGTCATTTTATAATTAAAGGCCTTTAAAGATGAAACTGTGTTTCTTTGGTTCATATAGAGTCTCACCAGAGGGTGAGCAGTCTTTCTGACATTTATTTAGGGAAGAAACTCTTTACTCAGATTCAGAGAAAAGGCTGTAGTAGGTCAATATCTAAGAAGGCATTCCTGAGTTGATTATGGATGGTATATGCCTTGTGAAATGGAAGCAGGCCAAAGGCTAGGAAGTTCTTATTTTTTTCAGAGTCAGAACCTACAAACCCAGATAGGTATGTTAGGAATGGTTGCATTAGAGCACTTTAAATATTTATTGGACTTAAGTCTGGATTTATTTATTTTTTGTTCAGTAAAATTCCTTTGAAGCTGTGCTGAGGAACAAACAAAAATACGCACATACCCCAGCATCTTAAAGAGAAATCTAAGGTTCATGACGTGGAGCCTGGTTGGTGCAGCCTTCTTAGGCTATTCCAAGGGAAAAGTGAGACATGGGAGAGAGCCATAGTAGGAAGATTTAGTGGTTAGTGGCATTTCCTTATATTCTGGACCAACTTTTCTAGTTTCACTACATTGACTGCTTACTCATGACTTGTCTGCTCTGCACGTAACTCCAGTTCTTATTTGCATATCTTTTTTCTCCTTACCTGGTCCACCCAATCTCTTGCCAGGTTCTGCCTCTGCCATTTAATATTCACTGATAGACTTGCTTTTCCCAACAACCTTGGTATCTCCTTCCTTAAAGATATGTTTCCTTGTGTCCCAGAGAGCTGACCTCAAATTCTACCTCTAGAATTCTGGCACAGTGGATTGAAGTGTGAACTTTTATCTTAAAAGGAGACATTCCAAGTGAAATTTGAATGTGTGTATTACTGTATTTTTGGCTTGTGTTGTTACAACTTGACAGTGAGGTAGCTTGGGGATTTTATTTTATTTTATATTATTTATTTTACTTTATAGGAAACCTTAACAGAAAAATAGTATTTGATAGCACTTCAATGATACAAATTTGTTTTGTACGTACGAATTTATAACATTTATGTACTAAAGTCAATTCTTGAACACAATGAGGTTCTGCCTATTTATTTTCCTCCCTTCTAAGATTTAAACACTCTCTAAAAAAGCTATAAACTCTGTTTTATAATGTATAATAAACTCTATTTTGTAATATACTGTTGACCATTGAACAGCATGGGGGTTAGGAAGACTGATCCGCTGCACAGTCAAAAATCCTCATATGACTCCCCCCAAACTTAACTACTGATAATCTACTGTTGACTGGAGGCTTGACTAATAACATAGTTATCACATGTTTTTGTATATGTATTACATATTATATTTTTACAGTAAAATAGAGGGAAAATGTTATTAAGAAAATTATAAGGAGCCCTGACTGGTGTGACTCAGTCGGTTGGGCGTTGTCCTGCAAACCAAAAGGTTGTCAGATTGATTCCCAGTCAGGCACGTGCCTGGGTTGTAGGTCAGGTTCCTGGCTGGGGGCAAGTTGGAGAGGCAGCAGATCCATGTGTCTTTCCCTCTCTCTTCCCCTCTTTCTAAAAATAAAGAAATAAAATCTTTACCAAAAAAAATTCATAAAGAAGAGAAAATACATTTATAATGTTGTACTGAGTCAGTACTGTAAGTTTATGTCATCTGTTTTAGGTTTTGTGGTTCATCTGCAAGTTTTTTCAAATTGTCAATGGAAAAATAATCTGCATATGAGTGGACCCATACAATTCAAACAGATACTGATTGAGGGTCAACTGAATGTACTCTACATATAAGTATACAGTATTGTTTTTTCATGTTTCTAAACTTCATAAAAGGTGTTATTGCTTGCATTTCATTTGCAACTTGTCATTCAGCATTTTTTAATAGTTTTATCTCTAGTTCGTTAATTTTAAGACCTGTGTGGTGTTCCACCCTATGATTATGCCATATTTTTAATCTATGCTACTATTAATGGAAACGAAACTTTTTCCGGTGTTTTGCTGTTACAGACAGTATTTCAGTGAAAATTCTTATCCATGTTTTCTTGTTCACGCGACTGAGAGATTATCCAGGGATTGTACCTTGCAGAGGAATTTCTTATTAACAGTGTGGATAGTGCAGAGTTGCAAAATGCTGATTTTTTGATGGCAGAATTACCCTTTTAAGTGTTTGGGGGAGATTTTACTCCCACCAGCAGTGGAAGTAAAGTCCCTGTTTATTCAACATTCTCATTAACACTGCGTGTTGTCAGATTTTTACATTTATGGCAGTGTCATGGTTGTGAAATAGGGTATTGTCTTCATTTTATTTCAGCTTCATTGCTAGTGAAGATTAGCATCTTTTCATATATTTCTTGGTCATTCCATTTTCTTTTTTTTTTTTTTTTAATATTTATGGCAGCTATGACTGTTCCACTCTCCTCATTACTTTTACTTATTCTGTAGGATTATTTTTCCTGATTTTTAGTGTACCACAGACATTCTCTACTGATCTTTCATCGGTTATAAAAATTACAAATATATATCCCAGTTTGTTGTTTCTTTTGAAAATTTCTGATGTCTTTTATTAAGAGAATTTGTTTTAATTTAGTGATATCATCTTTCTCCCTTGATTTTATCTTTCTTATTTAAGAATTCTTCCTCTAACCC